TCGCAAAGAGCATTGAATCTTCAGAACTCGACTTTTCAAGATACGGGGATACTTTCTTTGAGGCAAGCATCTTATACTTACTACATGGTGATGGAGTTTAGTGCGAACATATCTATGCTATATTCTGCTATTTTGGTTTGTGTGCTTTACATAGGTATCAATGGCATGTCTTTACTTAGCCCTACCTATGGAAGTACCTTTAAGGCTGTTAGTCTATTGAGAAATGTTTCTTGTGTTAGTCATGCTTGCTTTCTTTTCCAAGTGGTAGCTTCTAAATATGAGTAGAGCTATAGCTGATGTGTTTTGAAACTGAAAATAGACTTCATCCATTCAGTGTTTGTCTTGGCCATCAGTCACAACTCTTTTGTGAAATGAATAAAGAGATTTATTGCTGTGGAATCTTTCTCTAGGGTGAAAGAAATAGGGGTGGGATGGAAACTCAGTATATTCATTCACCCTTTTGCAATTCTGTCATGTAATGTAACACTAACAGCACCAAGGATTTTCTAGAAGTTCCATTTGTTTATCAACATGACCCTTCAGGACTTGGTGCATGCTCTGGTTGTTTCAAATTACACCTGGTGCTCCTTTTCTCCAATATGTTTGTTTAAAAAAATAAAAATGGATATTAAGGAACTGGTCCATATGATTACAATTTGATAAATGTAAATTAAGTACTTCCTATCATAAATCTATAAATTGTGCAAAAGTTTGGAATGGCCCAAAAAACGTTAGTTAAACATTACATGATGTAGGTAGCATTGTTATCTTATGTTTTATTAGATGTGCACGATTTTGTTAAGCTTCAGGGGAAGGGGCAAGATGTATGCACTCTTTTGTTTGGTTTAGGGGTTTATCTATTGCTTTGCTTTCTGAGATGTTTATGAAGTGTTAGAAGTTGAGAATGAAACTCTTGTATTATCTCTGCCTTACACATGTCATTTGACTATTTCTTGATATTAATTGAATTCTTAGATTGCCACTCTGAGACATTCTGTATTTCTGTATGCAATTTTAAGTCTGGCACTTTTTAAACTTTTTCACACTGCCCAGAATATAACAATTCTTATATGCAGGTTATCTTTACCGGGGGCCGCACACAGCCTGGAACAACCAAACCTGATGAGGGGGAGCGCCACACTTACTCTGTAATTCACTGTGAGCCCACACGTGAAGATATTTTGCCATCTGTATTCTTTATACAGAAGATTTTGCGCCGAAGGCCGTTCCTTATCAAGTACCTTGAAAATGTCATGCGAAGATTCTTACAGTCTTTGGAGCTTTTTGAAGACAATGAAAGGAAAAAATTGGCAATATTCACTGCTCTTACTTTCTCCCAGAAGCTGTCAGGTTTGCCACCAGAAACAGTGTTCCAACCCCTCCTCAAGGACAATCTCGTGGCAAAGGGGCTAGTTCTTACATTTTTGACAGAATTTTTTAAGGAGTTTCTTGTGGATAACACATTAGATGACTTGATTGCACTCCTGAAGCGTGGTAAAGTTGAAGATAAACTTCTGGACTTTTTCCCATCTTCTAAGAGATCTCCTGAGGCCTTTTCTGAACACTTCACGTGAGTTCTCTCCTCTGTTTTTATGTTTTTTTTTTTCCTTGCATTGAATGTTTTTTAGAAGTCTATGTTTCAGTATAGTATTAGTCAACTTTGTCTTGTGTTTCCAAGCTTTGTAGTATACTGGTTTTCCATGGGTGTTACAGTTTAGTACTACAATTTTTTTACTTCAAGTTAGTCAGGCACTTGATATATATCAAATTGTGTTCTCCTACCTTTCCTAGCTGTCAATCTGATAGCTAATTCTCCTTTTTCAGAAAGGAAGGCCTTGTTCCATTGGTCCAGTACAATGAGAAAAAATTATTTGAGCTGAAGCTGGCAGAAATGAAGTCTGCATTAACGACTCAGATAGCAGAGGAAGCTGATGTAGAAGAAGTGATTGAAACTGTGAAACATCACGTGAAAGAGTCTAAGCTCCCTGATATTGAGATTGTGCGCCTCTTATGGGATGTTATTATGGATGCTGTGCAGTGGTCTGGGAAAAATCAACAGCAGAATGCTAATACTGCGTTGCGCCAGGTATGCTTTGGATCCACGCCAATGCCTAAGCCTTATTATTTTAGGTTCTCACTTTGGTTAGAGCACATAAAATGATATTACACATGGTCAGTTTTGTTGGGGCAAAATTGCAAAATTTGATTCCTATATTTTATATTTTAAGTCCTTTTGCCCTTGAGGATTGTTGTTATTCTTGGCGTAGTATCAGTGTTTGAGTTGTGAATTTTAGTTATAATCTTATTATTGTTAATTAGCCCACTTGCAACTTGATCATAAAACTGAGGTTCTGGTCTTCCCCCTTCTAAATTATGATGTACTTATCTGTATTTACAAGTCTGCATGAGATCAAATGCTTTATGTGATAGATAATTATGGCCCCAAAATAGCATGACGTGCCTTTTAAAGCTACTCTATGTGCCTGCAATTAGTCCGCCGCTTTTGCTATCATCTTTATGATTTTAGCTTTAATAACACACTATTGTATTGGCGTACCAATGAGACTTTAAGCTTTCTCATCTGATGAAGTTATATTTCGAATCTGATAGGTCAAAACCTGGGCAAAGCTCTTAAATTCCTACTGTACCAGTGGAAAGCTTGAATTAGAACTCATATACAAAGTCCAGATCCAATGCTATGAGGATGCCAAATTGATGAAATTGTTCCCAGAAATAGTCAGATCTTTGTATGACCAGGATGTGCTTGCAGAAGACACCATCTTGCACTGGTTCCGTAAAGGAACAAATCCCAAGGGAAGGTAAAGTTTTCAAAATCCAGATCATAAAATTGAAGTGGTCTTTGATGTGTCTCACATCTGATTTCTGAATTTTTTGCTGCTGATTTGTTTGGTTTTTTTTTTGTTATTTGACATCTTTTTTATTTTGGCATTTTCTAGGCAAACTTTTGTGAAATCACTTGAGCCCTTTGTGAAATGGCTGGAAGAGGCAGAGGAGGAAGAATGAACTCAGTATTATTGTAGGAGTTCCCCTACCTGTCCTTCAAGTTCTCTTTGTCCTTTAACGCTTTATGCGCCCTTGCTAGGACCATGAAAATATTTGATGTTGTGTTTTTGAATTTCTGATGATACGATTTGAGTATTTGCAATAATCTTTCGTTTCTTATCTACCATGAGTTTGTTATGCCCCCCATTGATGATTTGATCGGTTTTGTATTATGAAATGGTTTTTAAAGCCGTCATTGCAGCAAATTACGAAGTTCTTTTACATTTTTGTTAATGTCTTGGATCATTTGTATGCGTTCATCATGTTCAATCAGCATTGCATTGCTTAAATATATGCTCTTTTTTTTTTTTTTTTTTTTTTTTTACAAAAGAGCTTAAATATATATTTGTATATGCAAAATTCAAGTTGATTGATATTCCTACTTGTATATGATATTTGCCATATACGAAGTATATCTTATGGTCAAATGTTAATGACTAATTCTAGCCTTGCTAAGTTAAAGGTACATGAACAAAACGCCAAAAGATTCAAACGTATTTTAAATTTAGCTAATTTAATTAGTCACTCTTACATGACTTAATTTTCTGTTTGTCTAATTCTAATCCTCTCTAAGGTCTCGGTTAGGTTTTTCTCTTTTTGATTAAACATTGTGAATATTGTGATCGTAAGGGGTTGTTTGGTTACACAAAGAAAATGGGGGAAGTGAAAAATCATGGGAATTTGAAAATACATGAGTTGTTTGGTTGACAATAAAAAGTGTAAATGAGGGAATTGCAAATTCATGGGAATTGTGACTTCCCATAAAATATGGGAAGTTAATTACCTAACCCCCCTAGGTAGGTCAAACTTCTTATGATTTGCAACTTTCCTCATGCCAACCAAACAACTTTATACAATTCCCATGATTTTGACGTAGGAATTTAATTCTCATAAAATACAAATTCCTATGGGAAGTAATTTCCCATAGCAACCAAACGACACCTAAATTTTTTTCTCCTTCTAACCAAGGACGGATCTAGAGAGTGGGGAGCCTAGGCTATGGCCTGTCCCAAGATCCAAAAAAGTAGAGTAGTACATATAATCCATTTTAGTAAACACCAAAAAAATTATATTTAATTCATTTTAGTTAAACTATAATAATTTGGAAATAACTTGAATGAGTTAATTGTGTTATTCCCCATCTAAAGTTTGGATTTCAAGATCAAGACTTTTTTTTTTTTTTTTTGTTTAATTGCTATTTTCATTGTTCAATGTTCAAAATATATATATATATATTGAGTCATTAAAGACCGGGTCGGGGATACAGGCTTAAACTCTCAATTTGACGCGTGTATAATTAAATAATCTTTCTTCTTATTATTTGTTGTATAAATCTATGTAAAGTTAATTTATAATCGTCATTGAGCACCACTACCTTATTGGCATAAACCATCTTCAATACTTGTTATTTACAAATAGATTATTCTAAAATAAAAATGATATTGTGCAAGTTCAGAAGGTTACTATCAAATAAAATTCAATCAAAGCATTAGTGGCATTACAAAATATGAAAATAGCCATATAAAGTCCTTTGTACAAATTATGTGATATGTAGGATTTATTCCGCAAAAGACCAATATAACGAATTGTTCTGTTGTAATTGCATAATCACCAATTTTGTAGAGCCTTGAATTAGTATTGTCAGGATAAACAATCAATGTCTCTCAAAAGATTGGAAATTTTAATACATGCATTAACTAAAAGCAAATCTGTTAATGCAATCCAAAACCATTTTTAATTTCAAATTGAACTGAAAACTCCAATCTATGTGATCCATACTGCTCCATATTGACAAAAGTGGAGCTGTAAAATACCCTTTAAGTAAAATACAAGCTGAAAATCCACATTTAAAACATTACATACACTAATACCATATTGCGCGACTATAAATCTAAACCATTATAGGTAGAAAACGATCATGCAAAAGTGACCTAAACACCGATAAGTAAGGAAATTTCAGTACAAAAATCCAGAAAAGTTGATAATATAGAGCAAAATGCAGTTTACAATCAAAACCAGAATGGGGTGAAAGTTATACAGCATTGCCCTATGGTGAAGGGAAAGGGGTCAATTAAGACAACCTAACTACATCCCATTTACTAGCTCTAATCAGTAATCACATGTAATATGTATATACAGAAGAGAGCTGCCTTGAGCGAAACTGTTTCCAAAACTAACGAAGTTAGTTGAGCAAATTCATACTAACAGTCTAAACCCATCCAAGAAATTAAAGAGGGCGACTTTCTATAACAGCTTACTTGTACTGCAGATCATTTAATTTGACACGGGAGAAAACTGAGGATCCTTATTTTTTTTGCTAAAAATGTTAAAGAATTGTTCACTGTACTTCACAGCAAGTCGTCTGCATTCTGCAAGATCTTCCTGCTGCACTTGATCCACTGACTTCTTCATTTGGCCGCTTGGATCCCCATCTATAAGTAATTTTGCCAGAGCAGACACACTGGAAGCAAGATACAAGTTTTAGGCAAAATAACAAGTTAAGTTTTTAATTGTTTATTTGATGGTGAAAAGTAGTATTCTAATGTTATAGCATGGTATGATCTTGTCATATTAAATGGAAGCATTAGTAAATGTGATGCAATTGCATGAAGACAAGAGAAACGTACAAAATGACTAATCGAATAATTCACATCAGAAAACCTACAATTATTTAAAATCCAATATATAGTAGTAATTACCTGCTAATGTCACATTCCTCCAATCCTTTTGATAAGACAGACATTTTTAACCAATACAATGCACACACTGCCTTGGCACAAAGGTCATCATCCTGTTCGAAAGCATAGACTATATCATATTCCAGCTTATAAGGAATCCTTTGCCGAAGATATGTCAGTAACTCTTTAGCCTGAGGGCACAACCAATTATTGGATTTGGGGGTTCCATGATTATAATTACTGTCATTGCCATTCGAGAATCTAGACAATGCCACCATATCTCCTCTCCTGTGCTTCTGTTTATATTTTTTTGGTGATGCTAATTTTTGCTCCTGAGAAGTGTTAAGTGCATGGTCACTTCTAGAAGCTGACAAAACAGCATTTGTTGGTTCCTGCTTGGATTGTTCACACATCACATTATTGAGTTTCTTCATCTTATGTAGTTGGTGCCTTCGCTGCTCTAACAAACTCCCAGGACATCGTCCTTTGTCTTTGACACCGTTTTCATCATCACTGTCGATGATGATAGGGTCAGCAGACGTAGGCCTCTTGCTGCCAGAACCCACGTCATCTCTTGAAGTTTCAGTCTCAAAATCCAATTTCCTTTTGAGCCTTTCTGCAGCTGCCAGAGATTGCTTGCCAGGCTTCAAACTGCATTTAGGTTCAGTAATGCGAGCAACAAAAGCTGCATCTGGAATAAAAGAGAAACTATTAAAAGGAAAGTAAAGAAACGTATTTCTATAACCACGTATAGTAAGATCACATAACTCTTCATAAGTTAAAGATATCGAATCATGGCTCTTCATAAATAAAAAGGATTAACAAAACAGACGAGTAAGTTAAGCAAATTATAGATTCCAGCAGGCTAAAACAGTCACTTGTTTGCTCAACTATATCAAAAGCACATTTCTAACATATAGTGATTCCAGATGCGACTTTTCACACTCATAGCAGGACCAAGATCCTCCTTCTTCAAATCGCCTATACCATAACAGCAGTGCAATGTACAATTTTTCATAATGAATGATCTATCCTAGCTCCTTTAACTAAGTAATCAATGAACTAGAATATTTCAACACTTCAGGTTTCTTTAGGCCTTGTCATAGCTAGATTGTTTCATGATCAAACTGCAAGAAAGCATTTTATGGTATCTCTCACTTAATTTCCATGAGTTCAATAAGTGAAAATATAAAACAAAAAAGTGACGTATATAAAACGATTGACAGCACGTACAAGAGAAAGCAAATTTGATTAGCAAAATAAAAATGTATGAATATCAAAGTAGAAGAAAAATGGGATATGCATTTTAATCTTGCATGGATTCAGTATCTTTTGGGCGGATCTAACAACCCTAATATTGCAAGGGTCATATAAAAATAATTTTGTTATGAAATTGACAATGCTAATCACAAGTAATAAATAAGGAACTCCTGTAGCAAATTACTAAGCAGCGAGATTCTAGTAAGATTAAACAAGCAGACGTGAGGTATTAAACAAGGAAAGAGTCATGTAAAATCCTTCACACTCAAGATGAAGCGTTATTTAATCCACAAAAGCACGTGCAAACGACACATGTCCACGTCATCATTTCAAGCCTAAAAATTTAATCACTGCAGTAGTAATGCCAACCTAGCATGCAGTTGCATCCACCAAATTCAACAAGGTAAGATTGTCCTCAAGCATGCACCGAGTAATTGCATGCAATGATGTATGCAATAGCAATATACATGAGATACGAGCCAAATTTTATTGATTGCTCAAAGGGCAGAACTTGTTAGCAGGTTAACAGCGCATTCAAGCAAATGAATAAGCCCCTTAGATGCATGGTTCCCCATTTTAAACTACCAGGGTTCATCAATAATCACCAGCAAGTCAAACAAAAGGACCAAAACCCTAATACATGCCACAACAGTCATTGTATTAATTCATTTCCTCAATCCAAACTCCTTGAAATATTTGTGTGTGAATGTGTGTGTGTGGGGGGGGGGGGGGGGGGGTCAGTATACAAAACACTTGCACCTTTAGTTCGAAACCTAGATAACAAGATACGTGAAGAGAGCTTGATGAAACAGCAAATACGGAATGGATGTAAATGCACAAAATGTCAAGAACCTAGCCTATTTAAGGGATAAAAGATTATAGACTAAAAATAACTCAAATGGTATACTTTGAGACCAGAAAGTGATGCTATTTTCTTAGATTACATTACCTTTACCTATGCCCTCAGGCCTCAGCCCCTCAACAGCTTATCTTATCCTCAGATAACTCTAATGAACGACATAGGCAACCACATTGATCTCTTAAAACCTTGCACTTAGCAAAAAAAAAAAAAAAAAAAAAAAAAGATGCAGTGATTTTTTTGCCGTCATTAATATAGAAGTTTATTTCTTTTTTCGACTAAATGTCAATCCTATTCACCAAATAAATAACCATTTCATGATATCAATTAGCCGCATTACACTACTACGTATGGTACATTACAAAGAACTTGTGCTACAAATTTGTCTCAAAACTGCCAAAACAAAATAAAAAACATCCATTCTCTGCCGCCAAATATTTGCTGAAAGAAAAAAGAAACAGCCTGGCCACACAAGATATAAAACCAAATTTCACTGCATAATATAGGTCACATATGTAAATGAAAGTAATATATAGCAACACAATATTGATCGAATACAAATAGCATCATCGAAAGAGCATAAACCTGCTTCCTGATGGATTCCATCTTTAGCCATTCCTGCATCGAGAGCCTTTATGATTCCAGAAAAAACTTTTCCAACAGGTGCATTTGCAAAATTTGCATCTCTCTCCAAATCTTTGCACATAAAAGTGAACATATCACCTTCAAGCTTCGAAACCAGCTCATTCACCAGCACCAAATTTGCTTTTAGCATCATGTTCTTTTTACCTAAATCCTCTTTCTCAATTTTCAGTTTTATAATGTCTTCATATCTCTCTTTCTCAATTTTTATTTTCTCTCTTTGTAATTTATCCACTAGGTCATCATTTTCTTTCTTAATTTCTATTTTCTCTCCTTGCAATTTATCAACTTTGTCTAAGAGCTTCTTAATCTTCTCATCCTTCTCTTCATTACTTTTCTTTAGCTCTTCAACACGGGCATCATACTCAGCCTTACACTCCTCTAAATGTGGATTTGACCCTCTCATGCCCTGAAATTCATCCCACCGCGCCTTAAGTAGGTCTTTAAGTTGCCTTTGCTTATCCTCCTGCTCCTTACACAACTCCATTTTCTCTACTTTCAATTTATAATATTCAACCAAACGATCCTTATCTTTGATCTTTTCCCTACACCCCTCCAACACTGCCAATTGAGCCTTAAATTCAGCATTTTTCCTCTCCACAATCTCATTCATTTCAACTTCCTTTTCAAAACCCAACTCCAACAATTTTCGATCTAATTCCCGCTTCCCTTCCTCCAATTTTTGAACCTCACCCTCCAAACTATTATACCTCTTAATGTAAGACTCTTCTTTCCCCTTTGCCCGGGTAATATCCCTTTTTAATTCCCTCACCAAATCATCCTTTTCATATAAATCGCGCTTCAATCGACAACATTCCTCCTCCATCACACAATACTTTATCTTCCAATCCCCAAGATCAGCCTCCAAAATGTCATTCCTCTCCCTCAAACTATTTACAATTTCCTCTTTCTCCTTCAACAAAACCTCCTCCCTTTCCTTCAACTCCTTTACTACTGCCTTATAATCGATATCTAAACACAATTTTCCCTCAGACAAAACAACATCAGAAATTGACTGATGTTGTGAAACCCCAGAACAATTATTGTTCCTGGGTGATTCTCTGTTCGAATCATCGCTCATTTTCTAGAATTTCTACTACCCACAACACAAAAATGACGGAATTCCACTAATTTAACATCAAAAATTCAACCCTAGTGAGTAATTTCAATGAAATCTGCATGAAAGACAATAACTTTTCATCAAAATTCTATCAAAAAAAGTGTAAAATGAGTGCTATCATTACTCTAAACATGCAAAAATTCATAAGAAGTAAATACAAAATTCTAAGGAGGTTCAACCCCATAATTCAAGAACTCGCCTTTTTTGAGTTGAAATCAATCTGAAATTTGCGTTGATTGTACACAACAAGAAGAAACACTGTAGACTGGAATTTTGGTTGACGTTGAAAAAGGAAGATTAAAAACGTTACTAGGCGGGTGGAGAAGAGAAAGGAGACATGAAGTGAAAATGTAAGGGCATTTGTCCAATTTTGTCACTGTTTTGTTGATTTATTTATATTCAAATTTTTTACAAAGACATGATTTTTGTGTGTTCAATTCATAATCCTCACAAGTTACAATTGACAGGTCTTTATGAGAGTGAGATATAATTCAAGTGGTTATACATACCTCCCCTTTCAGTTTTAGATTTTTAGGGGATCAGTGATCTTGGGATCGATTCTCATCACCAGTATGTGGCTCTCTAAACACCATATATGAAATATTATTTTTGTCGTTATTGGATAAAAATGCATGTAAAAAATTTCCGTTAAGAAAATGCACGTAAATATTTACGTGTAATGAAAAGTGTATACTCGAATACCTATACCTAATGTCGGAGGAAAGGGATAATGACGTAAACTATTATGTACACGTGAGGATCGTTCTCGTATTATTTTGATAGCACATCAATATTAGATTTTATTATTTTAAATATACATAGATAACCCTCAGTTAATATCGTGAACTGAATTGAATTGAACCTATTAGAGCTGAACTGAATTAAAATTAAGCTGCAGTGAATAGGCATGTAGTCAAGTGATGTATTATTAGATTCATCTCAATATTTCATAATATGATTTTTTATATAAAATATGTTTAAAGTTGAAATATATGTATTGAGAAACATAAACCCGCAATATACAGAGGACGGAGAAACCAAGGAGGTAAGTTTTGTATTTAATAAAAATTAATTGTTATCCAATGTATGAAAAGATCCATCAAATATCCAAAAATCTAAAAATTAATGTTTGATATCGAATTAATATCTTTCCACATATATCAGATTGTGTTCATATTTACAATTTATTTCGTTCATTTCAAAATAATTGATAGTTCTCTTAACCTTTAATTTGTGAAAATAATAGGCGGGGACCATTAAATGAGTCATTAATCTATTATCCTCCATCCTTTTATTAGAGTCTCATTTCTAACATTTATTATCAACATAATTAAGAGAAATGAGACTCTAATAAAAAGACGGAGGGAGTAACTATTAATAAAATAGAGTATGCTGACATCACCACTGCCCATGTGTCACTCTATTAATAAAAAATTTATCGCCTAAATGCAATGATGATGTCATTTTTTTGTAGCTATCATATTTAATACGAGTATATTAGAAGATTCTTCATTACAACTAAAACCTATCAGATTATTAAAGGAAATTAAAACAATTTTAAATAGAAAACTAATAAATAACCTCTTATATTAAACTATATATTAAACGACGTTAAACAAGTATGATACTATATCATAATTTTGATGAAAATTAAAAAAAAATATTAAAATTACAAATATTTTGGTATGTAATACTTATTTATATTCATTTATAATAGCCATTTTTTAACATGTATAAATTACAAATAGGTTTTATATCTAATCTAGTGTAAAGTAAATTAAGTTAGTGAATATACTCCCTCTATTTCAAAATGAATTACACAATTTGGATTTTGCATTATTTATATACACTACTAAAACTAATGTTGGTGCTTAATACAAAATATTGACCTATTAGAATGGTTTCAATTATAATTTTTAATAACCATTTTTTTCACTAATACTTATAAATTAATAATTTAAAATATTATTGGCCAAACATCAGTTAACAAATGTGTTAGTCAAGTTAAAACATTTATTATAGTAATTTATTAAATTAAAATTTTAATTTAATATATTGTATTTTTTTTTTGTGTTTAGAGAGCACAAGGGTGGGGGTGAGAATCAATCCCAAGATCTCTTGGAATCGGGAGGGAAGCTCTAACCACTTGAGTTATCCCTCACTCTCCAGAATATAATGTATTAAGTATATAAGTGGTTGTTTGGTTGCACCAATTTGGGCATTCAAACTTTCTAGAAAATATATTAGAGAGCTTTTTTTGTTTTTTTTGTTTTTTTTTTTTACGTGAAAGGAAAAAAATTCCTAGGAACCACCTTCTTCTTCCTTCCTTTTTTTAGTGTTCACACCCGATTCACCCACTAATTAACTGTTGGTGTAGTGTTAATTGAGCCTACACTTGGTAGGGAAGATTCGTGTTTGATCTCTCGCAACAACAATCGGAAGGGCAGTGGAACCTAACCACCTAAAACTGATCATCGAATCCAGATTAGCTCAAAGGGTGATATGAGAAAAACACCAAAAAAAAAACACTCGATTCACCCTTTAGGCTAATTCGTATTTGGGGCTCAATTATAAGTAGTTTGGAAACTTAATTTCAAGTATATGAGACCTAAGTCCATTATCACCCGACTACCCGAGTGTGTATAAGAAATTGCCAACAAAAAACACATGTGGAATGGCCAAAAACAGCGTGGGAAAAACCGTTGACGCTTCCAAAAAGCGGACACTTCCATACCATTCCAGTTTTCCTCATTTCTTTAGGAGAGAGAAAAACATCATCCTCCTCCTTTACTGCACTCACCAATTTTCAGAGCTCCTGAAAACCCTAAAATGGCGGCATTCATGGCAAGAGCTTGCATTCTCCCAACAATGTCAATCTCTTACCCTAATCCTAACCCTAACAATCTCCGTTCAGGCCGCTCACACTCAGTTGACGCATACTACATTAAACGCGCCGTCGAATTGGCCGACAAATCCGCCGGATTTTCATCACCTCACCCGAATTTCGGTTGCGTAATCGAAGCCGGAAGAATCGTCGGAGAAGGTTATTTGTATGCTCAGGGAACTACTGCGGCGGAAGTTCAGGCTGTCGAAGCTGCCGGCGAGTGGTGTCGTGGTGCTACGGCGTATCTTAATATGGAGTGCGGTGATTGTCATGGTGAACGTACTGCTGTTTCTGCTCTTGTTCAGGTTTTTGCTGATTTTTTTTTTCTTCATGATTTTATCTTTCTTCAATTTGGTCGATTTTTGCGGAATTTAGGGTTTTGATTTGTGAAATTGTGGATTTTGATATTGAATTGTTGTTTGTGTGAATTGTGGTGAGTAGGCAGGGGTGAAGAGAGTGGTGGTTGGAATGAGACATCCGTTGAAGCATTTGAGAGGAGGAGCGATTCAAGCGCTTCGAAGTGAAGGAATTCATGTTGATGTGCTTGGTGAGGATTTGCAAAGCGATGTTGCCGAGGTTTTTTTTTTTTAAATCAATTTTTTTTTTTGTTATAATTCTTAATTCCATGTTTATTAATTTTGCCTTTTTGTAATTTTTATTTGATTGCCATGATTTGTTACTTTGTTTTCTCGTTGGTTGCATCTTAAAAATACATAAATGATTATTGTAACTAGAAAGTGTTCCCCCCCCCCCCCCCTTAATTTATTGTAGGTTTGAAGCTCAAAAAAGAAACAAAAAGGTATCGAATTTGATCATTGTCCATCACTTTTAGTTGGGACAGCCAAAGTGGCTTAAGGAAAGCCAATGATTTTGCATTTGTTATGTAACTTAAGTTGGTTGTGTTATATTTTCCCCCTTGTAGTAGACATTTAGTTACCGAGTCAATTCATGTTGAGTAGAATAGAGTAGGTAGGCTGGAGTAACTATACAAGTGTTGGATGAATTGGAAGAACTTTTAGGTAAGCTGAGATTAAACCTCATACTACGTGAAGATGAATTTATTGAGTTAATGAGCTATAGAAGTTTGTTCTTGTTAAGTTGGAATGTATATTGACTCACTATTGCTGTGTGGTGGATTTGTTGTCTGATAAAATTATTGGTATATGAAATCTTTAATGGTTTGTTTGGTACAAAGTTTTAAAATTTCAGTATAGATGAGCTCCTAGGCAAATCTGTTGCTATTTCATTAGGATTGTACTCTTATGACCCATTTGAAATTATCTGATGATGTCTTGTAATTTTTCAAGTAATGAGGTGTTTAACCTCTAACTGAAGCCTGGCTCTTGCAGGAAGCTTTGAAATCTTGCCTTCTCGTGAATGCTCCTTTGGTCGTCAGGGCTGCTTCTCACGTCCCGTACTCTGTTCTCAAATATGCTATGACCCTTGATGGTACATAACAGGTTTATTTTTATAGCAAACTTTCTTGACATTGCTAGTTACCAAAACTATCAATTGTGGACAAAAATCTGAATGGTGCTGTTGCTTGGCAATTATACTTCCTTACAGTCTTTTGTGTTGTCTCTTGTCAGGGAAGATAGCTACTAACAAGGGACATTCAGTGTGGATAAGCAGCAACCTATCAAGGTGCCGTGTCCTTGAACTGAGGGGTCGAAGTGATGCTATTATTGTTGGTGGAAATACTGTACGGAATGATAGTATGGATCTGAGCTGTTAGTGCAATACATCATTCTTGGATTTATCACATATTTCTCTAATCATTCTTTTTTCCCTGTGTTTTCAAATTGTGAATGAAGATCCCCGACTAACTGCAAGGCAACAAGGGGGGCATTCGCCTGTACGGATTGTTGTGTCACAGTCTCTTGACCTTCCTGAGATAGCACATCTTTGGGATACTTCTGAAGTGCACACCATTGTGGCAACACAGAAAGGTGCTAGAAGGAGCTTTCAAAAATACCTAGCTTCCAAAGGCGTTGAAGTGATTGAGTTTGAGATTCTAAATCCTAGAGATGTTATGGAATACTTTTATGAGTGTGGATATCTTTCGGTTCTATGGGAGTGTGGTGGAACATTGGCTGCATCAGCTATTTCTTCTGGTGTTATAAATAAAGTATGCATGTGATCTTTTCCCTATCTTTTTCTTACTTCCCATTCATAATCTGTGAAGTGGTGTTTGACATTTTGTAGTGTACTAGTGTTGCTGAATTGCTGATTCTTATCAAGGTTTGACTTGTATGATTTTTTCTGTGTTGCCCCTCTATACATCAAATAGGATAATATTGATTTGAAAGGGGCCTGCCTATTGGTTCACATCTATATAATTTACGCAAACTTTCAGTGAGCTACCTTGAGCTTTAGAAAATATTACATTTGGTATCCATTTTAATGAAGTTAGGCACTTTAATCGTTTGTTAGAATTGTGAATACTTTAGCATGCTCTTCAATAGAATCTGCACCCCCCCCCCCCCCTCTCCCAAAACGATGCGAAACTGCATTATAGTAAAATCCATAGGATTGATCAAGAATTACCTCTCCTTCACTCTAACATATGGTGACTCCTTGTTTCCTCAACTTTTCCAAAGTCAGCTTGGATCTTGTGGATGAGTAGTCTCTACCTTCAAATGTTGTTAAACTTGATTAGAATGCTTCACTGAAATAGGTCAAACCTTCATTCTAAAAAAAAAAGAAATAGGTCAAACCTTTTAGAACTAGCTCAATTAAAAACTCCAAATGTATTGCTGTCAACTAGCTTATTAATTGACGAGGTATATAAGAGGTGGTGTAATACCTGATTTTAAAATCTATTTTTATCATTGTCCTCAATGACTCCCTCCATGATCCTTAGTTATATATTTTTGCTGCAAGGATTTGTTCTGCAGATATTTAATTGTTATTCTCTAAGCTTGTTTTTTCATTATTTTAGGTCTATGCCTTTATTGCTCCTAAAATTATTGGTGGAAAGGGGGCGCCATCTCCTGTTGGTGAACTTGGCATGGTTGAGATGACTCAAGCTCTTAATTTACATGATGTCAGTTATGAACAGGTTGGTTATACTGTGATACTTTTGCCTACTGGTTATGATCCTTTGCTGTAGTGATTCTGTTGTTTTTTTTACCTCTGCCTCTGGTGATCTTGTCAATCATTATTTGGCTTTAGCTATTGTTTCTCTTTCAAACGTTAGTTTGATTGAGCGGGTGATGGTGCTTTTTCCTAACACTCAGAGATTCAGGGTGTTGATGAAGTTTGTGTTAATACTATCTATAGGCATGTAGCCTGTTTCAACAATATTAATGTGCATGGAATCGGGAGAAAGAAAAAGTCGTGTTTTGGGGGAAACAGACTTGGGAAATTTGTTGTCATATCTGATTGAGTTGTCTTCAGACATAGGTCACTAGCTACAATTCGTAAGATACTGATTGTGAAACATTAGTTCCACATTCCTGTACATCTTAGACTTGTGTTGAGACGGGATATCATTTTTTAAATTTTCTGCAGAAAATATTTTGACATCATATACCACCTTTTAATAAAGATGAGGAAGCATAAAGTGTTGCCTCAAGTCCTCAACCATATTGCCCCACTACTGCAGTAGCTGAACCTTAGATATTGTCCACCGACTTTGATGCTCTGATGTTGTAATATCCTATGCAAAAGTTAGATTGAAGGTGCAACTAATTACTGAGGAATGGTTAATTTAACTGGATTTTAATTCTAGACAGGTATGATTTGTAGGGGAATATCTTATTACTTGTTTTCTGATGCAGAATTATTTCTTTTATCTCAGGTTGGACCTGACATGCTTGTCAGTGGATTTCTTCAGCCCATTCCTGACTTGACACCGATCATTCCTTCTTTCTCTGAATTATCAAAAATTGATCCGTCAATTAACCCTTATGAATCTAGCATCATATCCTTCTACAAGACTTGGGATCCTTACGGTTCCTTCTCCAATTTCTCACCCCACCCTATCCAGATGCCAGACGAGGGTGGCCATTATACAACCTGGTCCAGTGTCGAGCATTATTACCAGGTAATGCATTTTTATATCTTGTAGGAAATTCATTTGATCTATCTAATGAATATTTAGAAAAATCCTCTCCTTCACCTCATTCCGTATTACTATAGAACATTTATCAGTAACTAAATTACATGTTTAAAACAATTTTGTTTTCTCTGAACAACCTTCATGATGCTCTGAACAACCTAAAATTCTGTTATCTTTGAAAAGCACAGCTAAAACCAGGAAAAAAAAGACTTCAAATAATATAAACTTGAAAATAAGGGTCTATAGACCAGGGTATTGTTGGTGAACCCTAATTAAAATTACTTTTTGATGACTGTAGCCAGTTGAATAGTAGATAATTTTTCTAAAAACTCCTTAGTCGTTTTTGGAATTTTTTCCATACCATTTCTTACCTGTAGATACATTGTATAGAATATGGAAGTTTTATATGAATTCCCTCTGCAGGCACACAAGTTTTATGGGGTACAAGATCCTCTAGCACAAGAGTGTTTTGAGGCTATCAAGTCTGCAAAAAGTCCTGAAGAAGCAGCCAGGATAGGAAGGAAAATGCAGAGACGAAGACCAGACCTGGTATGTTTCATGTATTTAGAGCTCAATGGAATTATCAAAACTGCTTGTCTTTCTCTATAATTGTGATGGTTATTATGGAGTATGATTTTCTCCTGTGTCTATATTGTGAAAGAGAATGTCTAATCTCATCCTGTCCATTTTGGAATGTCTGAATTGAAAATCATATTCCGAATCCTTCTTAAGGGTCCACTGCCAGTAGAAGCTGAATAGTCAGGATTCAGCCTTGGACAGTATCTTGAGCTGTCACCTGTCAGCATAAATTCCCAAATTCTTTACAATGTGCTGTATTCATACTCCGTATTCAGTTTGTAGGTATGCTGGATATTGAAATTCATACTCCGTAGGCCCATAGCTATCTACTTATCCTTCAGTTTTTGTCGCATCTATGTGTAATTATCTTCATATTACATTCGAAAAAATTTATTTTTAAAAAATTATTGTCTGTGAATACACCTGATAGATATGCTAATGTTTTATGCCGTAGAACACATGATTTTGCTTGATCTCTGTTGTATTCGCATTCTAATATCCTCTATATGTTTAATATTTTTATGGCTTTATTTATGCTGTTCAGGTAAGGTCCGACTGGGAGGCCGCAAAAATTGATATAATGTACAGTGCACTTAAATGTAAGTTCTCAATCTACCCACACTTGAACTCCATGCTACTGTCTACTGTTGGGTCTATTCTTGTTGAAGGTTCACCGCACGATTTCTTTTGGGGCGGTGGACGTGATGGAGAAGGCCTTAACTATTTGGGGAGGCTGCTGATGCAGTTGAGGTCAGAGTTTGTGGGTGAATCCTCTTCACACACTGATAACCCTGATGAGAACTAGAATTTTGGAGAGTTTAGAGTCTACAATCCACATATCTTTACACATAAAAGAGCTAAGTATGTACTATAATCCCCCCACAATACACACACAAAGAATTAGGGTTGAGGGATGCAAAGTTTTGTATCGTTATCTATGGATTCACCTTCGTATATGTTACAGATTATGATAGAACATTCTGTAAGTTTATGAAGTATTTTCTATGCAGTTATGTTTGATCCAAAATAAATGAGGGGCATAAAACTAAGTATGGCCTGATTATGTTTAAGTAACCAATGCAAGTGACTAATTGAGCACGATTACGGATTTTTTCAAATATGGGCCTTGATCCGGAGCTTCTAAGATCTAAACCCGCGTAACATTTGGATCTAGGCTTAAGTTTTTAGACACATTTCTGATATTTTGGTACCATTTAGTGGACTAGTGGTACCACTTTTAGGCCACTATGTCTTTCTCGGTAGTATTGTTCTTACTTATTACAACTAGTTACAACTTACTAAGTTACAAGTAGATGATTTCTAGAGCAAAGAAGAACGGATCCTTGAAGGAATTTGGACATTTTGGGACGAGTGATTTTGTTTCCCAAGAATTTTCCATTTGCTACATGGAGTATCAACTATCAAGGACTACCAACAAACGTGAATATGAAAATATATACTCTATACACGACATAGTATAATACATTTATTTAGATTGTTCTATTAAGATCTCACATAATTATACTTTTTCATGCATATAAATCATGAATGACTATCAAAACGAGCCATTTCCCTAAATAATGTTGGGAAATTATCTAATTCCCAAATTACAGCTACTCTTTTTTTAATTCCCACCATACCGTCCACGTCACCGGTTCAGTGAGAATTTTTTTAAAAACGGGTTTATTAGAAAACCGCTACTTCAAGTAGCGGTGTGCTACTAAAAACTGCTACTTCAAGTAGCGGTTTACTTATTAGAAACCGCTACTTCAAGTAGCGGTTTACTTATTAGAAACCGCTACTTGAGGTAGCGGTTTATATTTAAACAAATTTTCACAAAGTGGGGTTGTTGGTGTTTTGAGGAAAACCGCTACTTGAAGTAGCGGTTTACTTATTAGAAACCGCTACTTGAGGTAGCGGTTTATATTTAAACAAATTTTCATCAAAGTGGGGTTGTTGGTGTTTTGAGGAAAACCGCTACTTGAAGTAGCGGTGTTTTGAGGAAAACCGCTACTTCAAGTAGCGGTTTACAAAATTAAAACCGCTACTTCAAGTAGCGGTTTATTCTCATAACACCGCTACTTGAAGTAGCGGTTTGTTGCTGGACCGAGAAAAAAAAAACGGTTTGTTTTCCTTAACTGACGTGGACAGTATGATGGGAATTAAAAAAAGAGTAACTGTAATTTGGGAATTAGATAATTTCCCAACATTATTTAGGGAAAGGGCTCTATCAAAACAGAAAAGTGCAAAAGTCATATTGAGTCAAACGGTCAAGTAAAGACAGTGGAGAAAGTAATAAAATAAAGTTATGATCCTTTCTTTTCCTCCTATATGTATTTTCTCTTTTTGATTTACCTTTTTTACTGTAACATGTTGGACTGTTAGAGTAATAATCACGTACTTCTATTTTGAACTTCACAAAGAGATTTATGAAAGACCACGCTAGTATACTACAAGAAAATGTGCCTTTGTCTTGATCGAGCAAATTCACGCTAAATACCAAATATTAATTAACCAATTAAGGATTTATAGTTATTTATACATGTATAATTATAATGATTAAGTAAAAAGATGATTAATGTTATAGATCTTAATTTTATGCATTGCCTTAACATTATTTAAAGTATGATTGATATTCAAAAGTGGTTATACACTAGAAATTAATGATTATTAAGGGAGATTAAGAATGGTTAAGAACATGCAAAAAGATTCGTTTCAATTAAACTTTGAGTAGAACATGAATCATACTAAATTGAATAATAAAACAACTAATTATCTGAATAAAAATGATAAGCCAAATATACTTGGGAAAAAAAAAAGTCGTGCATGAGTAGGATATGACTCATAGTCATAGCATACTTTGTATGTGTTACATGGTATGTTGGTAGGGACACATGCGGGAGACAAAACCTAATCTAGATTTTCTCGAATTTTTGTATCACTCCATTTGTTCCATGCTTATTTATTTTTTAATGAATGTATTATTTACATCATCAATATCTTTGAATTTATTACTTTTTTAAACCGATATAATTGATTGTTAAACGAAGATTTTCGTATAAGTTGGTACTTCGTATTTAATTATTGAAAAAAAATAATGATTTATAAAAAAAAAAAAAATTATGATGATGTATTTGTTGAGAAAAGGAGATGGAGTTAAAGATTTTACCTGTGTTGGTATTCTATAAAAGAAAAAATTACTCGTATATATTTGTAGTCTTATTAAATTTGCAATAATATAAAATTAATTAGGCTAATAAATCAAAGATATTGATGATCGAAGGTGTTCATAAAAAATATACGTATATCGGTATATGAAATATAAATGGAAGAATTTCAACATTAAAAGGAGAGAGTATTTTATTACTCCCTCCATTCCTAAATTAAAAGCTTTTTTTTTTATTATTATGTAAGTAATAAATGATAAAAAGAGGCTTTATAGTAAGAGACGAAGGAAATATTGTTTAAAATAATAACTATTGATTTTTAGTTTTCAATTTTATCAAAAGATCAATTGCTGTGATGTTCAAGTTTAAGTAGGCAAAGAACATGACAATAATAGCGCCGACATTCACAATATATAATAAATGGATGAGATTTGATCTGATGAAAACTTTACTATAGTTTTTATAAAATTTTGGGCAATAGTTTTTATAAAATTTTGGGCAATAATTTTTTAGTTCAAAGTTGAAACTTTTGGGTGATCTAGCAGAAATGTTAGAATGTTTGAGAGAAGAATATGGATTAAGACAACTTAGGTAACATGATACGCAAAAAGGCCTTTCTGATAATTGCACAACCATTTTGTATGTATCATTATTACATGTTCTTTACCTAATTGACTAAAGGTTAGGCTACTTCTTTATTTATGTTTCTAGCATTAAACTTTATTAACTCATTAAATTATTAGTTTATTGCATAACTAGAAAGATTAGGATGAGAAGAAGCAAGTTAAAGGGATTCTTCCTTTATTTTCAGCTTGATCTTATCATTATTGTGTAAACAAACTCGGCTACGCTTGAAAATTATTATTATTATTATTATTTTAGGGTTTAGGGTCTGTTCTAATTTATTAAACAGAACTGATTAGAGCTAAATTAAACTGAATATTATATGAGAGAAGAAAATTAGAATCTGAAGTAAACCGATTAGAGATGAAGTGAATTGAACTGAAAATAATCTGATGAGAAAAAATCCTTAGTTCGCTTAATCATTATAACTAGTATATGCGAGTATGAAATACTAGTATATATACCGAGTGTGGGGTACAACTTTCATGACTTGGTAGGTCGGTAAACAAATGATCTGACATGCATTAGACTGTTTCACTGAATAGTGAACAAATGCTCTGATCTAGGTGTTTGGATGCATGACCTTAATGAATAAATCACCCAAATTCAATTATACGAGTACTCCTAGTTTGTATTGATGAAGCCAAAAATGGAGTAAGATATATTGGCACAACAACCCATGCATTGCATACATGCTGCGCCTCGACGTAGCTGGCCATGCGCCTTAATTATCTATACCGAGTTAATTATTCTCCATGCATTTTCACCATGCTCCTAACTTAAAACGCAGCCAACCTAACTTGCATATTAGCACGGCCGTGCCATGCCTACTTTATTGCGTTTTTATAATATTACACATGTATGTTGTGCTACTTGACTGTCAAAAAAGTATGGCTACTCGTAATTTTCTACTGTATTTTATGGAAAAATTGTCAAACTGAGCGTTTTTGGAAAACAATTTCCCAAACAAGACGCGTGGCAAAACTATTTACCAAACTAAGCTTTCAGGGTAAAACGCCAACCAGGGTGGCGTTTTACCCTGGGCAATTTTTTTTTTTAATTTTTAGTCAAAGGTAAAACGCCATCAAGGGTGGCGTTTTACTGCTGGGCAAATTTTTTTAAAAAAAAGCATTTACACAAAAACGCTAACGCCGTTGGCGTTTTACTTTTAACACAAAAGCGCTAACGTCGTTGGCGTTTTAGAGTGTTGTGGTTGTTGCTGCTGTTGTTGTTGCAGCTCCTGTGGTTGTTGCTGTTGTTGTTGCAGCTCTTGTGGTTGTTGCTGCTGTTGCTGTGTAGCTGTGTTTGTGTGCAGAGATAAAACGCCAACCATGGTGGCGCTTTAGGGGGGTAAATTATTTTCAAAAAAATCACTCAGGGTAAAACGCCAACGGCGTTAGCGTTTTTGTGTAAATGTGTTTTTTTAAAAAAATTTGCCCAGCAGTAAAACGCCACCCTTGATGGCGTTTTATCCTTGACTAAAAATTAAAAAAAAATAAATGCCCAGGGTAAAACGCCATCCTGGTTGGCGTTTTACTCTGGAAGCTTAGTTTGGTAAATAGTTTTGCCACGCGTCTTGTTTGGGAAATTGTTTCCCAAAAACGCTTAGTTTGACAATTTTTCCGTATTTTATTTTAATATTATAGTGACAGAATCGTGCGTATGTTTTTTTATAGTATATAGCTTTATAAGTGATCTTATTGATCAAATTAAAGGTCTCGACAAGTGTCATGACTCACTCTTTTCACCCTATTTTCTTGTCTCTACACTACTAATAAGTGCTAACTATATATTTTAAGCCAAATACGAAGTATATTTTAATTGAGCCCTTAGTTTACTTAATTGCATATAAAAATAAAAACTCCCATTGCATTATCTTTGATTATTTATCCTTGCTTTAAAAAAAATTGAGAAATAACGTGTATAGTATACTATAAAATTGCTTCAATATATATATATATATATATATATATAGGGGAGGGATCCGGTAAGAACCCCTCCTTATGTAAGAACCCTAGTTATATAAGAACCAATCTCATCCGTAGGCATAGATTAGGATGAGCGGTCAAGATTAAAACAAAAAAAAAAAAACTCCCCTAAAACCCTCCCCAAACGTTCATAATTTTCTCTCTCCTCAAACTTTCAATCCTCTTTACTTTCTCTCTCCTCAAATCTTAAAATCTAGCCCAAATTGCTGCAAAACAACCTAAATTGCTCAAATCAGGTACGTTTTTCTTTGATTTTGTTCTAATTTTATGAATTTCACATGATATTCAAGTCGATTTTGTGCTTTCAATCGCATGATGTTTGCAAATTGGCGATTTTGATT